CCAGTTTAGGCTACATATTTGCATTTCTATAGCGAGGACAAAGCAGAAATATAGAGATTATTAAGAGATTATATGTTTTGTCTATTATTATAAGGAGCAGCTCCATCCAAAAGCGAGTTACAAATATGAATTATAATTATTGAATCGATAGATCTATATTTTTATTTGAATCGAAAAGGGGCACTTAGACCGATTGATAAAGGTAACGGACTTGTCAATACAGCATCAAAAGGAGATTTAATAGAGAAAATGCTTACAGTAGCTATAGGCAAACAGTAGTTAGAATATCTACTAGTAAAAGATACGAAATGAATATGCTGTCTAAAAGCACAGTTACCTCGATGTACGGCTTATCAGCAACATGCAGCAGGCACATACAGACATCAATAATTTATTCATAAGCCACGAACAAGAATCCTTATACAGACCCTTTGATAAAATATAATGAACTAAGACAATCACTAACATGGATAATGTTATGAAACTACAAGTTACAAAAGCCGATTACTATGTTTTAGATAAATTATACCTACAATACAAAAGTTTGATCATCTTACTACGCAACGTATTATGGTTTGTAACTAGTGCCACTCGTAGTTTCAGTAAACCCCTGATAGTCCAGTATGGCTAGCTTTTCATGTTTCAAAAATATTAAAGTCGTTTATTTTTGGCTAATAGTTTCTGGATCATTAGCCGAACCCAGTTTAATATTTAGTGTCATTTTAGGTGCATATTTTCTATTTTAGGAAAAAAACTGCTTAAGGTAGTATATTTTCTAATATTGTTTAACTATACACACTTGATTTTTTTATTTAATTATTAAGCTGCCATTCATAACCGAAAATTTACGCAACCCTAAAAAATGGCACAAAATAAAATAATATGTGCTTTATAGGCACTCGTACAAGAAATAAGCGACTTTAAGATTTTTAAGTTTAGCCCTCAAATAATGTCAGCCGTACCGGACTATGAGACATTCATCACATCACAAACGGAAGACAATCGCATGTCGTTCGGCAATCTACGTATCGGCGGCGGTATCGCACCTGCGGTCGTTGGCGGGCGGCGGCGCAAGCGCGGCGGCGTCGAGCCGCGCGGGGAACGCGCGGTAGTACGCGGCGCGGTGCGGCAGCCGCTCGGCGGGCGCGCCCACCTCAAGCTCCGCCCCCGCGCCCGCAGACCACGCCCCCGCGCCCGCCCCCGGCCCCGCCCACACGCTGTACCCGCGCGTCGCCAGGCCCGTCTCGCCTAGCCGCCGTCTGCAAACCGTACCATAAGACTAAATAATACGCGCCGGAGATATGATAGGAAAGAGAATTGACGAAGCTTTTTAAATAATAATTTTCGGGAACTTTGATAGTTTGCAGCATATTCTTAAATCGAAACAATACATATTTTTGGAAAGGGCTCTAAGACAAGTAAATATGAAAAATACAAATAAACATAGTTAACAGAAGATATGGATATGAGGAAGACACCGAAAGTTCCATATTTACATTATTTAGTCTTATGAACAATCGGCAAAGAAATTGCCGCTATTGAAGCTTGAACGAAGTTTGTTAGTAGTTTATTAGTTATGTACAAGTTAGTACCGCTATGCGCCCATATTACGCAACAATCTGTGTTAAATTGTTATCAATAAAAAACATTAATATTCAGACATCGTTAGTATTTTTCCATGCAAATAATTTAGCGTTCAAAATCTGATGAATTATCCATCCATCAACCATTCATATTTTGACCTTGAGGAATCTATATTACATCAGCAGCATCAAGCAAATACAACCTGTTTCTTTTACCGGCACATATCACTAGTAGACAGAAAATATACACTTGCCATTCAAAATCAGCTGATGAAGATCAAAAGTTTCACTATAAAGTTTGTAGAAAGAGAGAGCATGAAGAAATTTCGAAGCACCATTTACATTATTCTCATTCACCGCACTACTATTTTCCTTGTTATTGTATGTTCATCCGTTTCAAAATAAAAGTCAACTTTAAAGAAAATAGGTCCCGAGGAAGTAAGAAAGAGAGAAAATAAGTTACATAGAGACAACAAATCTATAAATTTTGTAGAAAGAGAGAGCATGAAGAAATTTTAAAGCACCATTTACATTGTCATTCACCACATTACTATTTTCCTTGTTACAGTATGTTCAACCGTTTTAACACGAAAGTCAACTTTTAAGAAAATACGTGCCGAAGAAGTAAGAAAGACAGAAAGTAAGTTACACAGAGACAGCAAATATGCATTGGCTTACCTGACAGTCTTGATCCTGTGTTCAAACACTTGCAAGTTGACGTCGTACTCGCCCCAGTTGGCCATGATCTTGTTGTCAATCAGAGTAGCGAACATTTGCGTCTCGAGGAAGCGAGATAGGAAGGGCCGGTGTCTTTGCGGCTGGTCGGAGAGGAAGGACGCCTTGTCGAAGTTCACCATGGATTCCCGATTGGACAGCCACGATTCACGGTCCTGGGGAAATAAGATACAAAAACAGAAAATCAAATGTACGTTATTTCGTTGAGTATAAACGTTTCATAACCTCTTCAGTGGAAAACTGATATGCGAACTGATATGTGAAGAAAGATATGCGTTTAATTTGCAAGGAAAGCACATAATAATATGATCGAGAGGTCAGCGTTTTACGCATGCGTTCGTATTTTATAATCAGGTCATTCAGTTTTTTTGGATCAAGGTGCATAATTTTCCACCGTAGACAGGATTTGAAGCTGCGACTTTCGGCATCTGTACTGCCGAAGCCTCTACCAACTGCGCCACCACAGCTCAATCTTAGCATGCGAAACCACAGAATAGTATAAAACTAGGCGAAACCTGGTATACCTAACACGGGAAGAATTTGGTATTCAGATTATTCAGCTCGCAATATTCTACACCAACTTACACTTACGTTTCCTAGGTAAAAATCAAACCCACGACTAGTTTCAGAGAACAAGATACAGTACGCGCGCGAGTTTAATACTATCTTCAAGTATGCGCAACATTATCGCGCTTGCCAATATCTCGGCGTGTGCGACAAAGAGACGCATACTTCAGGATGGTAATGAACTTGCGCGCGTACTGTAGTTGTAATTAGGTATTTACCTGGTCAGGCATGATGACGAAGTTCTCGTACATGAGGAACATGTGCACGAATCGGTTGAGGAACGTCTCGCGGACCGCCATATTGAACCGGATGTCCTCCGAGTATTGCTCCTCGTCCGTCAGCTCCTTCTTCTTGGCTATTGGCATCACTGTGTCCGCTTCCACGTCGTCTATGTTTACGCCTGTTGAATAATAAATAATAATAATAATAATATCCCTGGACGAGACACATAGCGCCATCTAGCCCCAAACCACCCCAAACTAAGCAAAGCTTGTACTATGGGAACTAGACAACTGATATAATACTTATATGCTATTTTTGTAAATAAATACATAATATACATAGAAAACACCCAGACTAAACACAAATATTTGAAAATTTACTTTACAAATATTTGTGTCTGGTGGAAATCGAACCCACGACCATTGGCGTAGAAGGCAAGGCTACTATCCACTACGCCATCGGAACAGTCAAAAATTCACTCAAATATATAGCATACACGGAAAATAAGAACTTGATGAGTCGTTGTGTGGTAGCGGCTAAGAATACTGCTACCCATAGTCCACTCAGCGTGTTTCGTAAAAGGCGACGTAGAATTTTTGACCTCGGCTGAATATCTGTCGACTATGGTCAACCGGATGGTGGCAGTGATACCACTTACCCAAAGAGAGTTAACGCCCGATAACGTAAAATTAGTTTAGTGTTGTGAGTAGACCACACCCTTAAGGCCGCTATAGAGCTTTTCACGAAGCCCATACAATTTTCCCTGCCAGACCTCTCGGAGCGTCATTTTGCGAAAAACATGGGGATGTTTGAATATTTTTTACAGTGATATTATGAATAAAAATAAATATATTTTTCTGCAATTAGATTAAGTACATCTTCTTAAATAACATATATTTTATTTAAATCTTTACTACTGTTATTTTTTCATACAGAAGCCGTTATAATTGCGCATTATTTTGCAAAAAATCGTATATAAAAACGTGGTATTATTCTATATTTCTGAATAAAATTGCAAAATGTTCACTGTAGACTTTGTTCTCAAATATATACTCTATTTTTTTGTATAATTGATATTTTTTTACAGTGAACCAAAACTCTAAAACTCATGCTTGATTTGAGGTCTTTTCCTGAATTTTGGTTTTGTCGCTTTAGATATCGCTGTTTGTAACAGGTTTAAAACTAAAATGTTAATATTTACATTGTACATTTTTTAGATGAAGATATGCTTGATTAAATGTTCAAGTAACATATTATTTTTACATAACGGTTTTCGAGAAACTCGCTTGTTTATAAAGCCAATATTTGCAAATTTGCTAGAAAAAATTGAATGCGCTCTTAAGAGATTTGTACTTAATTAAATGTAACCGTATATACTCTAAGGGGAGCAGTCACCTGTGCGCTTGACGATGTCAACAATCCGCTGCAGCGCGTCGAGGCGGCGCGGAGGCACGGGCGCGCGCCGCGTCGGGGATCCAGGTGGGGACGCGTTCAATGGTCGAGACTCATCCCAGTCGAGCACGTCGTGGAACGAGTGCTTCCGCCGTAGCCCGCCTGGGGAGAGAAAACGAATACATTGGCAGCAATTCGGAAAAAAGAACCGGATGGCTGCTCGGCCATGTTAATGTCAAAAGGTCTTCTTTTCTTTGTTGACGTGTCTTCTAGTACGGGGTTTACGGCTAACAAATAAGACTTATTCGAGCAGCCGTACTTTAACTTAAATTGGCGCTGTCACGTTTCGTTTCCTATCCTCTTCTAAAACTAATTGGCGGAAAGTGACAGCGCTAATTTAAGGTATGTTAAAAAAGATAATTTATTAAGATAACTATAATACGGCAACACATTTCTGCTCTCGACAGCATGGCTTTAGGTATACGTTTTTTTTAATTCGTTAGCCTCGGCCAGGATTTGAACCTGGGACCGTGTAGTACCGTCCCACTGCTCTGCTATCTGAGCTACCGGCGGCGTCTGACCGATTCTAACGAATTTTTTCGTCTTTTAAAAATCCCTTCTTCTTTTTAAATTTTTTCATTTAAGAGAGTGAACATTTAAGAGAATCATCGGCCTAACGATATGAGTGAATAACAATTGTAGTGCGTCAACTTACCGGATGGTAGAGTGCAACTGCTGCTCATGCTCATACTGTCGCTCATGTGTTTGTATGAACTTCCGTTTATTGGCACGCCGAGCTTGGTGGGTTTCGTTTCCGGTCCTTTATGCTTCGCTACCTCGGATTTAGCACTCGCAGCAAAAATCTACTTTGCTCTCTTGTTGTACAAATAACTAATTTGTTTTTCGTTCTCCCTTGACTAGATCAGCGTAAAAACTGAACTAAACAACATAAAGATATATGAGTGCATAACGGTTCGGAAGGGCACGTTAACACGTTAAACGCCATACAAAAATTTCCATTTTTACCAAAAATCATTTTGATGTCCATTTCTTTATTACTCCGAAATATGTAAAGAAAACTGTTTTTTTTTCAAATAAAATATACTGTTTTTTTTTTATTGTCAAAAATCTCGCCGCGGTCATCTATGACCCCCACGGCGCGTGCGAAGTAAAATTTACAACTTCGTTATCGTGGCGCCGCGCCGGTCCCCTTGCCGGGCCCCCCGCCGCCCGCCACCCACCCTCGCATTTCGCATCTCGCGATCGTGGAGTTCTTCTCGACGGCCGCTTGCGGCCGGCGGGGAGACGTCTACGTAGCAATGGCCACTCCAACGTGGTGTCAGTCGCCACCTGCGACAACAGGTGGGGCGTTGGGGGATCGCGCTGGGCGCGACTGTGGTCAATCCGGTGATGGTCCAGGCAAAACTTCACGCCGCGGCGAGGTCGAACCAGCCGGGTGATTCCCCGTTGGGGGAGGCCCAGCTAGTGCCCGTCAGCCAGCGGCAGCTCGTTACATCTGGTGGTCAGGTCCTGTGGTTGGCTGCCTCATCCTCCTCGCAAGGTGGTCCCGAGGCAGCGGTCGAGTCCAGTAAGCGGCAGTGGCCGGGCGTTTCTGGGATTGTGCCCACGATCCTAACTACTCGACGTGGAGTAGTGGATGTGGACAGGTGAAGGCCACGTCAGGATGTGCTGGACAGCACCACCCTGAGCAGCCTATCTGGGTCCCAGAGCCTCCAGTTCGCCCCTGGCGGCCATGACCCCGCCGTATGACGATATCAGGCGCTGGAGGCTCTTTTCGACAATTGAGGTCGCGTCTGCGCCCGTGTGGAGCGCGACCTGGACCTCAGTAAGGGTCCTGATTGCGCTGATCAGGACCTTTCTGTCCTCTTCTAGGACGGCTGCTCGTGCGCTCTCTTGTCTTGGAGCCCGTTGGTGCTCCGGCTTCTCCCCCTGAGGTATACCCTGAGGGGTGCCGACCACATCCAACGGACCCGTGGGTGGCTCTTGACGTGGCTGGCCCGGTGCTTCCGCGTCCTGGGGGGGCGGGGGCGATGCTCGCCTCCTCCGCCTCCACGGCTTCCGCTTCTTCGTCGAAGTTCCGGAGAGGCCGTTGGCAGCCGCCATGAGGGATCCAGCTGCGTTGGTTTCCCCATGCGGTGCCGCCTCCGTCTTCTTCAGCTCGACGGGTTTCGTAATTGGCGCAGTGCCTCCTCTCTTGTTCCTTACTTCACGGCGCAGTACGGGGCAGTAGAGGTTGTTCGCCGGATGCGCGCCGCCGTAGTTCGCACATGTGGCGGGCTCTTCGCGTGGCCGTTTGCATTCCCGGGCAGCGTGCTCACCGCCGCAGATCACGCACGTCAGCTTGCGGTGACAGTGCTTGCTGCTGTGCTGGAATTGCTGGCATCTGTGACACTGTGGTGTTCCCTTCTTGCCACGCCAGTCCTCGATCTTCACGCCGGGCATACACATCAGCTCTGTGACGTTGTAAATGCCCGGGGTGAGGTTTGGCATGCGGATGAGCTGGGAGAAGAAGATGCACCCTGGGCGTCCTCCGCGAGCCTTGATGGGGCGCACGTAGTCCACCTCGTAGCCCAGGGTGGTCAGCTCCTTCTCTATGTCCTCGGGGTCAGTGTTGACTGGGAGGCCTCGTATTGCGACCTTGACAGGCCGCTCCTTCGGGGGTGCATAAGCAAACCAGGAAATTCCGGTCCCGGAGCCCTCCAGCGCGGTTATGTAGCGCTGGTAGACGCGGAATTCCTCTTCGCTCTTCGCCAGGAATCTAAACCCTGTGGGCCCATAGGGCCGCACGTTTGGCGCGTGTCCGAGCTGCTTCTTCATCTCGCCGAAGTGGTGGCCCCAGTTCGGGAGCAGGTCGACCACTATCGGCGGCGGCTTCTTCATGCACCCAGTCAACTTCATGGTCGTCTTGGGTGCGGGTGGCGGCGTCTTGTTGGCGTCTTCCTTGGGCTTGCTGGTCGCAGGCTTCGGGGTGGTCAACGAGGACGTGTAGGTGGTCTTGGCAGATGACGGCGCTTGGCTGACTCCAGTACCCGGGCTGTTCAGCAGGAGCATGGGCAGCGGCGGCGTGACCCTCGTAGCCGGAACCGTGCGGGTCCTCGGCGGGGTCGGTGAGGTTGATCCAAGTGGGCGCTTCTCGGCGCGCTGCGCATTCTGCGCTCCCGCCTGCACAGCTGCAGCACTCTCCCCGAGGGCATTCAGGGCGGTGTGCCGGGCGGCGGCGCGCTTGAGGGCAAGCAGGTCGAGCTGCTTCCCTCGGCTCACGCTGGGACAGCGGAGGCAATGAGGGAGAAGCAGGCAGCGGCGGCGGGGGGGGTGCGGCGGCGAAGGCAGCGGTTATCGCGGCGAAGGCAGCGGTTATCGCGGCGAAGGCAGCGGTTATCGCTGCTGCGAAGAAACCAGCGGGGGGTCCACTGATCCCGGAGTGGACGGCGTCATTGGTCGGCAATCGCGCTCAAGCTCGTCGAGCACGCGTTGCAGGGCGGCCTGAGGTACGAGCGACCGTACAACCTCGTCCGGTCCTTGAGTAGCGCAGGGCGCTGTTGTCCTGAAGGGCATCACTTATTGTTGTTTTAGCCTGGTCCGCGCGAAGCGTAGCCTGCCCTCGGGGCGCAAGACCTCGCATCTCGCATTTCTTACTAATCATATATGTGCTAAAATCAGTGTCATTTAGATAAATTTGTTACAAAAATATGCTTATTTTGTCATCAAAATGCATAATTTCAGTGTAAAATACTGAAACTAATAAAAAAGTTAGTTTTCTATAACTTATCCTTGAGGTACCTAAGTCCCATCGGGAACTATTGCTTATGAGCGCCGTGCCGGTCATCCTAACGCATGGAATAGTTGTTAACGGCGTCGCACGGCGTGGGAGAGCCTCTTGAAAACAGGTCTGACTTGAGGTCACTGGTGACCCCCACGGCGTGCTCGGAGTAGTAACATGAGGTCACTGGTGCCCCCCATGGCGTTTAACGTGTTAAGTCGTCGGTCCCGGTTGCTATCTATGATTATTTAGACGGTGGTCGTTACACAACCATGTCAGAGGCCTGCTACTACAGTACGCGAACGAGTTCATGACCCTCCTGAAATATGCGCTTCCTTGTCCTACTCGCAGTGATACTGGGGTGTGCGAAAAGGACGCGCATATTTCAGGATGGTCATGAACTCGTTCGCGTACTGTAGTAGTAGGCGGTTGAAAAACTCTGGCACCAGGGTTCATCAGGTCGTTGGACGACTTGGTGTCCCACTCGAAGAAGAAGAAGTGAATAACAATTGTAGTGCGTCAACTTACCGGATGGTAGAGTACAACTGCTGCTCATGCTCATACTGTCGCTCATGTGTTTGTATGAACTTCCGTTTATTGGCACGCCGAGCTTGGTGGGTTCCGTTTCCGGTCCTTTACCCTTCGTTACCTCGGATTTCAAAATTAGCACTCGCAGCAAAAATCTACTTTGCTCTCTTGTTGTACAAATAACTAATTTGTTTTTCGTTCTCCCTTGACTAGATCAGCGTAAAAACTGAACTAAACAACATAAAGATATATGAGTGCATAACGGTTCGGAAGGGCACGTTAAGTCGTCGGTCCCGGTTGCTATCTATGATTATTTAGACGGTGGTCGTTACACAACCATGTCAGAGGCCTGCTACTACAGTACGCGAACGAGTTCATGACCCTCCTGAAATATGCGCTTCCTTGTCCTACTCGCAGTGATACTGGGGTGTGCGAAAAGGACGCGCATATTTCAGGATGGTCATGAACTCGTTCGCGTACTGTAGTAGTAGGCGGTTGAAAAACTCTTGACACCAGGGTTGATCAGATAGTTGGACGACTTGATGTCCCACTGGAAGAAGAATAAGTGAATATCAAATCTAGTGCGTCAACTTACCGGATGGTAAAGTACAACTGCTGCTCATGCTCATACTGTCGCTCATGTGTTTGTATGAACTTCCGTTTATTGGCACGCCCAGCTTGGTGGGTATTTAACCGAGAATTATTTTCAAAAGATCTAATTTTTTCGCCATTGTTTACAATGATAGTGACGTCATAAGTATGGTAGATATACATACCAACCAAATACCGTTTTAAAAAGTAGCTCATTTGATAAGCATGCAAGTAGCGAAATCTATAGTCCGGCAAGTTCGTGCGCGACCCTCCCTAGGGGTGACAGACGTTGGGGAGGGAGATGTCAGCGGGTAGCGGGAGGTGTAGCGGGGAAGGGTGACGCGCGCATCAGTGCCGCACGTCATATTAAAATGACGTGCTTCCTCGCCCCCCGACCGTCTATACCCCGCAGGAAGGACGCGCACGAACTTGCCGGACTATAGTGCGTCAACCTTAGAGTATGTATATATAAACAAACTATAGAGTGCGCCTAAAAAGTTAGAACTGTCGGCAGTAGTCTGGGCGCTACCTCTCTGTCTGCCAGTAGCAAAACGTCAGTGACAGCACTATTGAATCTATATAACTTCTCATACATTTGACGTCTGTATATAGGGTGTAAGGGACAGGTCTCCGAATACTTATAGGGTGCATTCAGACCATGAAACTGAACAACT